TTCAAAAACTTCTGCAATAAGTGCATTTCGGGCTGTATAAAAGTCCTTGATAAATTCATGATATTGTTGACCCAATCAGGCTTCTAGATTTCTGGAAAGATTTTGAGCAATATGAAAAATACAATGCATAGTATGTGATTATTCATACTCTTCAAATATTGCAAGATCCAAGGCTGAATCTGCATCTGTCATAATAACAGCGGGTACACAACCTCCTGTAGCTTTTTTTGTTTGATACAAAACCCAGCAATAAGAGTCAGCGGATTCATCACCTATAAGTGCATATCCAACTAGTCGAGAAGATCCATAGTTATCAATATATAAAAAAAGAGAAAGTGCCATATCATATCGATTAGTTTTGGTCATATTATCATTTAGTATGATATCACTGAACTTCATCTAGAGAATTATCTGCTTAGGAGACATCCAAAATAATCTCCGAAGACTGTATGTCTCCCTATCCATATGCTCTGATTTTTAGAATTTATAAAAAAACTTATTTTTTAAAACTTTAAAGCTAAATAATTTTTGATTTACTAGTCCATTTTAAATGATTTTACTACCAAAATGTTGGTCTCTTTGAGACGATTCCAATGAGCCAAAAATCATAAAAATTCAATCACAAGGTCATGAGAAAATGCGCTATCAAATAGGTGACGCATCTAAATTAGTTTGATATATATCAAACCAATTTCAAATACGTCACCTATTTGATAGCACATTTTCTCATGACCCTGTGATTGGATTTTTATGATTATGGACTCGTTGGAATTGTCTCAAAGAGACAAACATTTTGGTAGTAAAATCATTTAAAATGAACCAGTAGATCAAAAATTATTTAGCTTTAAAGTTTTAAAAAAATAAGTTTTTTTTTATAAATTCCAAAAATTAGAGCATATGCCCAATCAATTGCAACATACCAGCGAGGATCATTATCTTTTTTATTAAGCAAATCTTCATACAATAATGCAGCATCATTTGTAATGTCTTTTCATCTCTTATTGTAAAACTTCATTACCACCTTATGGATTTCAGAAAAGTAAATCTTACGATCAGGAAATTCTTTTTGTGTAGCTCTTTGAATCTGTAATGGTTTCAGTTTAACAACATTCATATAAAATTCTACCCATTTGATCATTTCTTGTGTAAGTTCACTATCATTTAAAAATTCTACTTTGTGAAAGACAATTTATGATTATGTACAATATTTAGAGTAGTAATATAAATGTTTTTGTTGGAATTATTTTTTATTGGTTGTGAACAATTTACATGCTATTTATATTGTATATACTTTGTGCTTGATTCTCTAACTTGTTTGGTGTTCTTCAATTTATATTCGCCACTATGTTTACAAAGCATCGTTCGTTTACGAGTAGCACCATCAAAAGTCTTCTCAATGTGACCTTTTCTTAAGCCAAACTCTTTCTGCCATGCATACAATTTTATTGTATCATATGCTTCATCCCAACTTTGAAATATCCTTCCTTTATAGAGCTTTTCTTGAGAGTTAGTGTATTCATCATCTTTTTTATTATTTTCATAACTAGCAACTACTAATTCATCATCAAGACTAACAGTTGCTAAATCATCATCAAGACTAACAGCTGCTAAATCATCATCAAAACTAACAGCCGCTAAATCATCATCAAGACTAACAGCTACTAAATTATCATCAAGACTAACAGCCGCTAAATCATCATTCAACTGAGGTGCTTCTTCGTTATTTGCTATCT